TTTCAATACTTTGTCATTGTTTTTATGTAAAGATTAAAAAGAATCTTCAGTTTCACATATACTTCCATATATCGGGTTGAGCCGTAATGGGAGAAAACTTTGGGAGCCGCTTCGGTGTTTCGTCGTAGTTAATAATTAAATAAGATCTGCTAATTGTGAGATGTGTCTAGATAATTAGGTTGCCTTGCTCTCCCCCTCCTTTTTTTCGCACTCCTCCCGTTTTCAGTTGACGTTTAATTAGAATACGAGGAACCGGTTCCCGGGTGGAAAATGAACGCGAAAAGAACTACGGCAAGTCGTTGGCAGTCGCCTGTTCGAGCCTACGTCGAAGCATGCCGCGGACGGAACTTCTGTACGTTCAATAATTAAACGTAAACTGATTATCGGCAGTTAAAGGAGCCGACGCTTCCCGAGTTCACGCATTAGAAGTTTCTAAAGAGAATTAAACGATTACGCGGCGGCTTCCGACTTGGCCCGATGAATTTTCATCCGACCCGGAAAGAAGCTTTAGTTTCGTTCGGCGCCTGTTTAATTTGTAATGTTAATTAAGCCTCTCCGAGGAGTGGCTGTCGTCCCATCGCGATATATCTGCGGATTTGCATACCCGCTGCGATCATAAATCACGCGTGGGAACTTTCGCATACCACCCGCAACTATTCTTCCATCCATGATCACTCGTTTACAGTATTTTCGCGGCGATTCTGTACCCGGTCATGTCGAAGACGAAGAATTCGGAGTTCGCAGAGGTGCTTCATCGGCCCATACGGACCCTCGCGTATCCGGAAGAGAGCGTCGCCAATGTAAGTGCAACTAAACTCTTTTATAAATTATATGAATAATATTTTTGCGCATGGCATTTCATTATGAAAGTTTGTTTAAACAGAATTAACCCTTTGCACTCGAGGCCTTTTGCGCTCGAGCGAACCAGCAACTCGAGACTATATATTACATTAATAAAACACTGTACAAAATTTTAGAAATTTTTTGAGTGTATAAAGAAAGTTATTACATCTTTAATTCTTATGTTTCATGACACAATTTTAATTTTATTTATGAAAAAATGTGAATGCAACAGTAACAGAATTTTTTAATTTTTTATAATTTAATACGTGATTTAAAGATATTTTAAAGTTGAAATAATATCAATTTCAAGGATAAAAAGTAATTTATGAAATCGTGAATGCAACAATGACAGAATTTTNTCCGCGGCCGGCACGACCGCTGCCGAGCCCTCCGCGGTGGAACCCTCCGCTGCCGGGCCCTCCACGGCTGAACCTTCCGATGCCGGGCCCTCCATGACAACCCTCGATGACAGAGCAACCCCGTCCGAGAGAAGAGTGAGTACACGTATTTCTTTTTAACCCTTTGCACTCGAGGCCTTTTGCGCTCGAGCGAACCAGCAACTCGAGACGATTTCGGCTATATTAGAGAACTTTAGGGGTACTTCAAATCATTTTATACCCAAAAGAACGTATACAAATAATAAAATTTTACCAATTTTTTCATTTTTATTGAATACAACAAAATCTGTTAAATATTACAGTTTGCAATTAGTTTTCGTGCTAGGCGCCGCTCGAGTACAAAGGGTTAAATTAAAAATAATGAATGTATGTTTCGTTGAGTTATTCGTCGCCCTGGCGATACCATTGGAGGAGCCTTACAAGTCCGTCTCCGTGGCTCTTTTCTTCGAAGCGACCTACCCGCTGCCACTGAACGGGAGTGACTTTCTAATCGGCGAGGGTGAACGGAAGCAGAGGAGCCTAGACAGAGCCACTTTATATCAAGTCGTCAAGAACAAATTTGAACAGTGAGAAAATGATTTCCTATTTTTTTTTTTCTCTTTTATTTTTGCTACATATTCTGAATCGTTTAATTGCGACCGTGCGAACTGTTTCAATGAACTTCAATTGACGAATGCACGTGCATATGAACACACGGTATAATGAGCACAATAGTGCCGGCGAACAATGAGGGGGAGAATGTACTGGATATGCGCGAACGCTGACCCAGAAGTCGCAGTAGGTCAGCCACGTACGTACAGTTTTACTTTATTTCTCACTTTGCTTCCCGGACTTTTCGCACAGTTACGGATATCAGGGTCACGGATGCCTGCTGAGGGCCATTTGCGAAACTTCGGAACATCCCTTAAGACATAACGGCCTCATCGGCGACATCGTCCACGTGATCTTCACGTAAGTTCAGCCTCACTCTTGTCAATTATTTATTTAT